ATATTCTTCCATAATGGAAAAATGTTATTTAAAAATCTAGCTCTGTGGGTGTTTGAAAAAAAATATTCTTAAAAAAATCGACGTCATATGGGGAAACCTTTTTATAGTATGTATAATAATAATAATTTGGTCTTTAAAAAACACTTTCTACAAATGTTATTCTTCCAATTTTTGAGAATCAAAATTTTACTTCGAAAACTGATTAAATTTTATTAAAATATATAAAATAAATATTTACAGTACTCAGCACCATTAGTTATGCTCTCATTCCGTTTACAAAACACTTTGAAATATTCATCAGAGACCCATATTACTGATCAGAATCAAATTCTATGCCAATTTAACCCCGTCCGTAAACCTGCCTATTAAAATCACAATTAAGCATGCAATATTTTAGATAAAGCTGTGAAGTTTTCGAGTCGAGACAAAAACAACGATTTTTGTTGTGATACATCACCTTATTATTGCATCATGTATTGGTCCATATTTTGATACTAGGGATAAGTAAATCGTCTTTAGACTAATTATCTTTTTGTATGGAAAAGTCTAAAAGTCCTAGTCGACTTGTGATCTTTGAGAAAATCACAAAGTCGACTTTTCAAGATCGATTTTTTTCATTGATTTTGCTTAAGTCGGAACAGATTTGACAAGATCGATATCTCAAAGGCCAAAATCGAGAAGTCTAAAAATCGACTTTTCGTTCAGTGGCAAAAATCGAAAAATCTAAAAGTCGGCTTTTGAGCTCGACTACGTATCCCTATTTGATACTGGCCCCCTATAGCGGCTTTCCTAAATATTCGTGATTTTTGGGAACGTTTTTGAACTGCATTGGATGTAATTGGGTATTTTGGGTGCAACTAAATCTTATTACCATAATGGATCTTTTTTTAAGGATAGCCTCCACATTACGGTGCCTTCATTCTTTGGGTCGTTTTTTCAACCGAATTGTCTGTTATTTGGCATTTTGGGTTCTTAGTGCATAGCAAAGCTTCCTACCAAAAATGATAAAAATTGGTTCACTTTTCACCATAGCCTACATACCTCGCAAATTTCGGTATTTTGAAAAGTTTCTCTACTTTTTTTAATGAAATTGGCTGTACTTTAAATTTTTATCAATATCGCTTTACTTTTTGGTATAACTCCCATATTACAGTATCTACCCACTTTCGAATTTTCCCATCGATGTGGCTGTAATTTGGTATAAACGATTCTTCAGGGCTGACATACATATATACAGAAAATTATTAATATAGGTCCATGTTTTTTAATGTTACCACTATAATGAGAAAATGTGACCTCATTGTAGTGGTTGGAAACAATTCTCGAATTTTGTTTGAATTTATTGAATTATTTGAATTTTTAAAATATGCTCCTCCATATAGGTACTAGTATTTTGAAGGTTTTAGACGAATTTTTTCATGATAGTGGCCATAATTTAGCAAATTAGACAAATATATAGCCCATATTTATAAAAAGTTCAGATTGGTCGAATTTAGTTTTGAAATACATTTTCCTGGTAAAAGGTTTTAAAGCAATTGCAACAGCTTTTTTCCCAAATTTGAATATTGAGAATTTTTTTAATTATTACTAATTTTAAATAAAAATTAAAATAAAATAAAAAAATGGGGGAAAGTATTTTTTTGTTGAACACGTTTTTTTATTTAAATTTTGGGGGATTTCTTTTTCTTTTTTGTAATTCTTTTTCTTTTTAGAATTGTTTTGTTTTTTTAAAGATTTTCTTTTGCTCGGGTTTTGTTTTGTAATTCCATGTGTGTGAGGGATTGGCATAAAGAAGCTTGGTTTGTTGTTGTGAAAATTATTATGTAGTTATTTATGTATATGATTAATTATAACAATTAATAAAAAAAAAATAATAAAACACGGAGAAAAAAATACACATACAAATATATATAATAATAATGAATCTTTGCAATTTAATAGACAAATTTAAAAAAATAATATTGAAAACAAAAAATTACAAAAAAATAAAACAAATGTTTAAGCTATAAAAAATTTAATTTTTTTTAATAATAATTAAATTTTTTAATAATAATTAAAAAAATTATTTGGGATTTTTTTCATGTTTTACAGTTTTTGTTTACTTACTAAATTAAAATGTATTTTGTATATAGCAATAATTAATAGTTTTTTGTTTTTTTTTTTAATTTTTAACTTATAATTAATAAAAAAATTAAACGACATTAAGCTACAGCAAAAAAAGTCCATAATTTTGTATAGTGTTACATGTTGACTTAATAGTATTTTTAATAATAGTTGTAATAATAAAAATGACAAAAACAAAACAAAAAAATAATAATTAATAATAAAATGTTTTATTTTGGCCTTAATTTAAAACACATAAAATGATAATATTTAATAATTATGTATATATAAAAAATTTCTTTGTTACAAGTTTTTTAAAAAACAAATAAATTGTTTTTTGTTTCTTCTTCCTTAAAAATAAATGACTTAATACCTATACAAAAAATACAAAATTGTTTATTTATTTTTTTTATAAACAATTATTAAAAAAATATATATTTATATTGTAAAAAAAGCAAAGCATTTTGTAATAATTATTTTTTATTGTTGTTGTTGTATGCATTTAATTAAAAAAAAACAAGGTGGGAGTTGGGTAACAACAAAAGGGATTTTAGTTTTGTGTGTCTGTGTGCTAGAGGATGTGGGGTTTTTAGCTTAAGCCACATTTTTTATATATAAAAATTATTAATTTTTTATTTATTTATATAAAATAATAAAACTTAGGAAAACATTGTATGTATTTTTTGTTGTATTTATAAACTAATTAGTTTTATTTTTTAATAAAAATATATGTATATGGTTTTCAGTCCTCAGGTAACAATGTCTCAAAAACAACAACAGTAACAGCTGTGGTGGGGGTGGTGGTATTGGTATTGGTGGCAGAAGATGATGATGCTGTTGCAGGGGAGGATGAAGGGGAGGGATTATTATTTTTTATGGTATTGGAATTCATTTGTTTTAAAACTCCTGACCCCATAGCCGGGGGCTGGGTCAGTGTGGCCTTTAAAATATTGCCACTAAAATTCCCCGCCTTCATGGCCTTGGGGGATTTATTTAACTGCAGGGAGCTACTGGATAGGGGATTAGTGCTGAGTAATGCCGATGATGTAGTAGTTTTCGATGCTGTAATGGTTGATGCGTTTTGTGCCACACTCATGGCCTTGGCCAGAGATGGCACGGCAGTCCTTAACAGTCCTCCCATAGAACAGGAGGTAGCTGCTGTTTGTAATGACGATGCATATGGGGTGCTGTTGGAACAGGAATTTGAGGAAGAGGGTGGTGGGGTACTGAAACAAGTGGCAGCTGGGGTGGCCTTCGGTTTCGGATCCTCCTTTGGGGGATCTTCAGTTTGGGTTTGGCTTGTAACCAAATGGGGTTTAATGCAGGGTATTTTCAGGGGTAATGATGATAGGCTATTGTTGTTGTGGTTGTTGCTGCTGTTGTTGTTGTTGTTTTGTGTTTGTTGAACATTGTTGCTGTTGGTGTTGTGATTAGTTTTTTGTATTATAGAAGAAGAAGAAGCCGCCTGATTGTTGTTGTTGTTGCTATTATTATTAGTGTTGTTATCATTAATCGCTAAATTAATGCTGTGGTTGTTGTTGTTAGAACCTAAAAAACTAGTTAAATTATGATTTGTTGTTGTTGTAATTGCAGTAGATAATGTTGTTGCTGACGATGATGAATTGTTGCTGTTGTTGTTGCTAATGTTTAAGGTGGCTAAACCCGTAGCCATAGCTGCAGTTGTGGGCATACAACTACTATTGGCTGGTGATGCTGTTGAGGATGTTGTTGCTGCTGCCACATGGGGCAACAATGAAATGCTGTTGTTGGTGGCAGTGTTAGCTAGAGAAGTCGTTACATTGGCAAAATTCAATTTCTTAAATGGCAGGGTACACATTTTCCTGGGTGCCACCTGGGGTACAACTAAAATATGTTTAGCTGCTGCTGCTGAGGATGATGATAAGTCTTGTTGTTGTTGCTGCTGCTGTTGCTGCTGTTTTTGTTGTTCACGTTGTGTTGCTATTTCACTAAGGGTTGCCAAGGTAACTGCAGTCTTAAGAACTTGATCAGGAGTGCGAACATGTAAAGATTTGGCCGATGCCAGGGATGAGGATAATGAGGCCGATGAAGTGGCAGGTGACGATAATGATGACATTGTTGTTGGTGTTGCTGGCGATGCTGCTGCTGTTGCATATTGTAATGTTGAGGCAACATTTAATGTTGCTGGACGTTTGGACATCAATGCTGATTGTAAAATTGATGTATATGTGGTAGTTGCGGGTGGTGGCGGAGTGGGTGTTGGCGCCCCCGTAGATTCAGTTTCCGTTTCCATTTCCGTATCAGTTTCCATGGCCGTGGCCTTGGCCAAACACAAAAGTGAATCACGCTGTAACTGCTGCTGTTTCAACTTTTGCTGCTCTTCTCCCTCCACCTGCTCCTCATCAGCATCCTGATATAAAAGTCTTTTATTTTCCTCACTATAATAGGCATAGGATTTTAGCAATGCATTTGTTACCAGTTGGGGAGATTTCACGGCAACTGCCCCCTTACTTGTTCCCATTTCTTTAAAATCCTGCCCGGCTGGCATACGGGCAATTTGCTCTGCCGCTGCCGTCAGGGTCGCGAGAGTATTTGCTGCCCCCGTTAACAAAGAAGTCTTTAGTATTGATGTTGGTTCCAACAACTGAGGCACTGGTTTTAAATGCATTTCCCCGCTTTCATCATCCGTCTCCATTTTTTCCACATTATCCTGCGAAGGGTGCTGTTCACCTTCCGTCTCCATCGCCATCTCATATTCATCATAGTCCCGTTCAATTTTAATTTGTGGCATTTCCACAATGGGCAAACATTTAATTTGATAGTCTTTATTATGGTCCTGCTGTCCCGACGAAGAAGAAGATGAAGTAGAGGGTCCTCCTGCTGCTGTCATGTTTTGGGTTTCATTTTGTTCTCGTTTCTTATTTGTTTCGGCATTAAGCTCTGCTGTTTCAAGGGGTTCAGTGTGTTCATTTGTTGTTGTTCGTGTTGTATTTGTTGTTGTTGGTTTAATGGAATAAGGCGGTTTTTGCTCGGCAATTGTCAATAGACCACGTTGAAGCATTTGCTACCTTATACTGGCCGAGTTCAAAACAAATGGAACGTAGAACATTTTACTTTCCAATAATAGACTAGCAGCAGCTTGGATCTGGAACACGGAAAAAATTTCGAAAAAAAATTAATAAAAATTCCAAAAATAAAAAAATTAAAAAAAATATTTAACATAACTGTTATACTGGAGAAAAAATAAGAAAAATGATATTTTTAAACGATTTAAATAGAGAGCAGTATATCAGATCAAAGAATTGGCAGTATAACAGTTATATGTAAACTGTTATACACAAAAAATCGCATATTTTACTTAAAACATAACTGTTATACTGGAGAAAGGTGAAGATTTAAATATACATCATTATAAAAGACTAAAAAATAAGCGGTATAACAGTTATATGAAAACTGTTATACTCGAAAAAATCGCATATTTTACTTAAAACATAATTGTTATACTGGAGAAAAATTAAGAAAATCACATATTTTTCGATTCAAATAGACAGCAGTATACCAGACTAAAAAATCGGCAGTATAACAGTTATATAAAAACTTTTATAAACGATAAAATCGCGTATTTTACTTTGGAAATATTAAAAATACTCGGACCTTATAAAAAATATACAAAAGAAGGCTAGAGACCTATATTAAAAAAATTTTTGCAAATATGTGTTTCACCTTTCATGAACCCGAAATACTCAATTTCAGGAAATTCGGTTGGAAAATGAGCCTAGAAACCTTCATAATACCGAGAATGGCGCGGGACATTTTTTATGGGGATCACATCAAAACTTGGACCTATATTGAATTTTTCCTTCGAAGTTTTTTTTAGAGGCTCTGTCTAAACAGGGACTTATTTTGAAAAAAATTCTACACAGCTTTTTTAACCCTTTAAAATTGCTGCAAAATTACAGCCAATTCGATTGGAACATTTCGTCTTGGACCTTTAACACAACGAAACTGGGCTGGGCCCCAATATGGGTCCTATTTTAAAACATGGACCCATAGTGAAGTTTTTTTGCCCAGATGTTTTTCGTCTCCAAGAATCCGGAATATTGAATTTACAGCCACTTCGATTGGAACATGCGGCTAAACCGATATTTATAACTTTTAGTAGGAAGATTTAAAATCCCATGAGAACCCAAAATATCAAATTAGAGCCAATTTGGATAAAGAACGTTTCCAAATTCCCCAAAATATCGAAATTTTGGAGGTACCGTTATATGGCATCTACCCCGAAACATGGACTGATTTTGATAATTTTTAGTAGGAAGATTTGACACCTCATGAGAACTCAAAATATCAAATTAGAGGCAAATCGGTTGAGAAAAGTGCCCAAGCTCCCTAAAATATCGAAATTTGGAAGTATTGCTGGTCTATCCCAAAACGTGGACCGATTAGCAATGCAGGAGCAAAATTTCAAAGTTCTATCATTAATATTGCGATTTCTATCGTAATTTCAGCACACAGAGAGACTGAAGTGGATCCGATTCGACCTAAAAACTACGCCAATTTTCATAATTTTTAGTGGAAAGATTTGAGACCTCATGAGAAACCAAAATATCGAACCATAGTCAATTCGGTTGATAAACGGGCTAAAATTCTCCAAAATACCGAAATTCGGAGGTATTGCTATAATGGGGTCTACCCTAAAAAGTACGCCAATATTGTTAATTTTTTTGTAGGAAGATTTGACACCCCATGAGAACCTAAAATATCAAATTGGAGCCAATTCGATTGACAAATGCTTCCAAGCTTCCAAAATATCGAAATTCTGGAGGTACCGTTATGTGAGGACTACCCTAAAAAATACACCAATTTTTATAATTTTTAGTAGGAAGATTTTATAGCCTATGAGAACCCAAAATATCAAGCTAGAGCCAATTCGGTGAACAAATGCTCCCAAGCTCCCTAAAATGCCAAAATTTGGAGGTTATGCTTTATGGGGGCTACTCTATAAACTGCACCAATTTTTATAATTTTTAGTAGGAAGATTTGACACCTCATGAGAACCCAAAATATCAAATTAGGGCCAATTCGATTGATAAATGCACTCAAACTTCTCTAAATATCGAATTTTCTGAGGTGCGCTTTAATGGGGACTACCCTAAAAAGTATTCCGATTTATATAATTTTTAGTAGGAAGATTAGAAACCCCATGAGAACCCAAAATATCGAATTAGAGCCAATTCGCTTGAAAACCCTGCCCAAGCTCCCCAACATATAGAAATTTCGGCGATACCGCTATCTGGGGACTATCCGAGAAAATACACCTATATTGACAATTTTTTGTAGAGAGGTTTTCTACCCAATAAGAATCTAAAATACAAAATTTCAGTTAATTCCTTTGAAAAACGTGCACAAAATTCGAAATATTGGTAATCAGATTATATGGGGTCTATCCCAAAACGTGGACCGATTAGCAATGCAGGAGCAAAATTTCAAAGTTCTATCATTAATATTGCGATTTCTATCGTAATTTCAGCACACAGAGAGACTGAAATGGATCCGATTCGACTTAAAAGTTTATTCCGATCAAGAAAATTTGGGGTCTCGGACGTATATGTCGAGGTTTTGCAAAGGCAATGAACAATTTAATCGTATGGAGGAGGTTATTTAATTTGTTTCTCTGGTATTACTCTCTATGTTTCACTCTCTCTCTCTCTCTCTCTCTATTCTCAACTCACCTCTGGTATATGAGACAACAACTCATTAAGGCGGGCTTGTGGATTCTGTGGCGATGAATGTTGTAAAAATGTACGCAATACTTGTATGTAACGTTCCTGTATACTTTCCAATTCCACTTCTGCTAAACGGCAGGAACCACAATTTGAAAAAAAAAAATACAAAAAATAATAGGTTAATATATTAACTCCACTCTCAAACCCTCTCTCCCCAACTTACCTTTATTCAGCAATATGTAAACCTTCAGACACACATATTCCTCCATTTTCAATTTAATCCTTCTGAACATAATCGTAATTTGTGTCATCTTATCCACCATATGACCCACATCCAATTTCAGCTGTTCCATGGCAATCGGCTGACCCATCAGTGTGGTCAGACACGTTTGCAGCGTACTCAAATGGGCATTAACTTCGGCCACAAACTCAGGATCATCTTTGTGTACTAAGGCAGGATGATGTGCGGCGTTCAGGTGCGGAGGTGATGTTGACGAGGCATGATTATTCTGGTGGTGATGGTGATTGTGGTGTTGTGTGGGCGAAGAGGACGATGACGATGCGGAGGAATTCGATGACGCTGAACTACTACTGGCCGAGGTGTTCGAATGGGCCGATGACGATGAAGTAGTATTGGTGGTGGTGGTCGCGGTGTTGGCATTCGTGTGCCGTTTACCATGCAAGGCCTGATAGGCTGCTGTAGTCAGTATGAGAATCTCGTGCCATTTGTCCGTCAATAGCTTGGTATGTATCTCGACTGGAATCTCCAGATAGAAGGGCAGCTTCTTCGTCCACGACACCAGTTTGTGAACGATCGAGTCGCCGATGTTGCAAAGCTTTTCGCTTATCTCAGACTTATCCTCCAAGAATTCAGAGAAGTGCGGCAGTGTGGCAATGTCCTCCATGGCGTCACAGTCTATCAGAGTTTGGATCATGGACAGAGAATGCTCGTATGAGATCTGGCGATCTTTGGAGGAGCTAACCGCTGAATCGAGCCGATGCCGTAGGTGAACAATCTCGCTAGGATTTGTTAGGGCAGTCTTTAGTATGGTTCCATTTACCAAATGCGAGGGTATTTTCATGGCAGTCTCTTGGGGCGTGGCAGGTCTTTGTGAAGCTGCTGAAGGCTGATGGACCGCACCGGTCATATGTGATGGCGGCCCCGTCACCGGAGAGCCAGCAATGCCGTGATGTGGGGTCTGCTGTTGGCCGATATTGCCGGCCATGGGGCTGTGCAGAGGACCACCGGCCGCTGAGCCATGCAGTGCATGGTGGGGCGATGATAAATGTGACGGAGGTGCTTGCTGCTGCTGCTGTTGTTGTTGCTGCTGGGGTGGTGGCCCCAATGCTGGCGATTGTTGGGCTTGATGATGCGGCGAATGCAAGGCTTGCTGTTCCTTCGACAGGAACATCGGTTTCATTTCACCGAGTAATTTGGTTTGCTGCTGGTGGGTTGCCGCCGCCACTGCGGCTGCAAATTGTTGCTGCTGCAATTGTTGTTGCTGCTGCTGTGGCATAAACAGATGCGCCTGATGGTGATGATGATGATGCGGAGATAATTGCGGCTGATGATGGCCCTGCTGTTGATGCAGGGGTGAATGTTGTTGGGATTGTTGTTGTTGCTGCTGTTGTTTGTTCTTTTTGTGTTTCTTGTATTTGACCTTGTAAAGGTTGTAGACGGCGCCGCTATTGCGGCCACCGGGCATGCGATCCTCGCGAACAGCTGCAAAGGAGGAGATATTAAAAAAATTGTCTTTAGATCCAAAATTTGATGGCAATCTTACCTTGCAGAACCATGCCCTGTTCAATGCATTTCTTGAAACGGCAATACTGACAACGGTTACGTTGAGCTTTGGTTATTTCACAGGTGCCATCGGCCACACAGGTATAGACTCGGCGATTTTGCACCGTGCGTTTGAAGAAACCTTTGCACCTGAAAAGGAAAATCGAATCATTAGACACCCCTCCCATGTATATCCTCCATCTGCTTGACTACTTACCCCTCACACGTTATAATACCATAATGCAGGCCCGTTGCCTTATCCTCACATATCATACACACCAGCGGCTGATCATCTTCATCGGTTGGCTCGTGGGGATTATCCAAACCCCTACCCAGCCCAGTGGTATTTGAACTACCTCCACTACCCCATGGCTGTTGGGCTGCACTTAAATTGAGGGCATGCAGTTGACCGGGCGGCAATTGCGAATAGTCCCCCGCCCATAGACGTTCCATATTCAGGGCATGCGGAGTACGAAATGCATGTGGCGGCCGTGGTCGATTATCTTGTATCCGTGTCTGGCCGAGTGAGAGCAGCAGCTGGGCAGCTTCTTCATTATTTTGCGGCGAAGGTCCTGGCGTATGCGTTGGTGTTAGAGATCCGGCTGATGGTGAGGAGGCGGTGTTCAACGATGATTGTGATGAATGATGCGATTGAGACTGCAGTGATGATGGCGGTCCGCCACCGCCGCCTCCACCCATTTGTTGATGCGTCAGATGATGCTGGCCATGATGATGGGAATTCGGTGATTGACTCGCCGATCCCGCCGATGAGGAAGGAGCCGCTGGCTCATAACCCCATACCATGGTCCGGACACCACAACTTTCACCCATTATTACGGTGGGTGTACCACGCGGCGGTGTTTGTGATGGTGTCTGCGGAGAGAGTTGTGACGTTGAGGAGGCCGACGATGATGAGTGGTGCGGTGAAGGTGACTGACCCGGTCCACCGGGTCGTATGCTGCCCATGGGACCACCAATCACCTCCGGTTTTACGCCATTGATGCGGGCATTCGATACCCACACCATGCGCTGGGCAGCTGCTGCCGCCACAGCCGCAGCTCCAGGCTGCATTAGCTGAGGTAAACCGGCAGCCGCTGCTGCTGCCGCCGCCACCTGCTGTTGCACCTCATTCTTCACACGAAATATAAGGGCCGCATCACGGTTGGGATGTCTCAGCGATTGTAGCGAGGCTGGATGCATCAGGGCCTGGGCCATATTGCCCAAAGCCTGAGGAGGCAGTTGGGGTGGTGGTGGTCCCTGTTGTTGCCCCGCCTGTTGGTTGGGTGACTGCTGTTGCATGAAATGCGGTGAGTGGTGCCGTTGGGCGCCACCACTTCCACCGTTGCCAAAACCCGTCACATGGTTCTGCATCGCCGTGGGCTCCTTCTTGATGCGCATATGCTGGGCATTTTGTTGCTGTTGTTGTTGATGCTGCTGCATCAGATGCTGTTGCGGCGACTTCGAGGAGGAGGAGTGTCTTGAGCTGGGCGACATTGAGGCACTAGGCGACATCTCCCTTGTGGCTGGATTATTTTGTCTGGACATGGCGGCGGCCTGCTGCAACAATTGCAGTTGTTGTTGTTGTGTCAAATGTTGCATTGACTGTGTCAGTAGATGATGATGCTGTGGCGGAAATTGTAGATCATGCGGCGGACTATTCTTTCTCAGCTGAGGCTGGGTCAGCTGCTGATGCAGGTGATGTGTTGTGACAATGGGAGGAGGAGGGTTTTGTTGCTGATGCTGTTGTTGTTGCTGGTGATGGTGCTGTTGTTGTTGCTGCAGCAAACTGCTTGGTGTATTGTGAGCGGAGGTATTAGGATTACCAGGCAGTGAGGAGGGCGAGAGAGTTGTGGTCGATGCACTAACAGCTTGGGAATATGGCGAATGTGGTGGTTGTGGCGGTTGGGGTTCAGACTTAATACGTGATGGTGTCACCAGCACGGTGACATGTTGTTGAGACTGTGTGGGTGTTTTACAACCCTGTTGTTGTTGCTGCTGCTGCTGTTGTTGCTGATGGTAGGCCAGCATGCGAGTGGGCGATGCCAATATCCGCTCCTCCTTGACCGAACGTATAACACTCATACTGCTATTGGGATTCGAGCTGCCTCCATGCATGCCATTCGCCGACATTAGCAGTGACGCAGTGGTTGTTGTTGTCGTTGGCTTGTCATCCATAGAATCGGGTGAGGCTCGACTACTGCCACCACCATTGCTGGTACTGCTGCTGGCATTGCCGTTATTGTGAGGCGGTGTGGGTGTGGCCCGATTACTGGAGGGCGTTCTTCGCTCCGCACTATCCGCTGCTGCCATCTCAGTGCTCATGGGCGGTGATGTTCGTACGGGAGCAGGTGGTGTCATCATATTACTGACCGCCGTGGAGCTCGCCGACATGCCACATGATGAATGGATTTCAGTCTGTTCTTGACGTTGTTGTTGTTGTTGCTGCTGCAATTGTTCATTTTTCGCCGCAACGGCTGCAGCAACAGCTTTGGCTGTTGCCACCACAACCTCGGCGGCAACTTGATGCTGAGGCATGGCAGAGGAGCTCGTACAGGTGGCAGGTGGTGTTGGTGTACTGGTGGTTGAGGTTAACGATGTGGTGGCCGTCAGTGTGACCAATGACATAGAGGCGGCCACATTGCTGCCAACTATACCACCGACGCCAACGCCGCCGCCACCACCACCTCCCGAATCACACATTTTCGGTGACATGGGCGCCAAAAGATCGGGTGATGAGGTTGAGGTATCGGCTACTGATTCACCATCACTGCTGCATCTTGAATCGATTTTACGTCGTTTCAGTTTTAGATCCTGAAAAAGGCTCATTTTATCGAGCTCGCTGTAGGGGCCACGGCTCAGTGTCATAATTCCTGGAATGAGAGAGAGGAAAAGAGAGAGAGAAATTAGTTTCAGGCTTTGACACAAAATATTATAGAAGAGAGTTTTTTTAATGGGGAGTGATGGAGAATAAAGAAATAAATGGGTTTAGGGTGTGGAGATTAATATAATTCTTAAGATATTGAAAAATAAATAAATAAATAAAATAAAAATAAGAAAATAAAAGTGTTAACAGTTATAGGATCTTAAGTACCTAATTATTAGGTTAGAAATATTTAAACTATAAATTTATGTACCCTAGATAATGGGACTCTTTGACAAAATTAATAAATACAAATTTCGATATTTTAGAATAATTTTGTAAATCCGGAATTTGTACAAATGGGTTATAGTTGGCTAAATTTTTTAAGAGAGCCCATTTGTACAAATTCCGGATTTACAAAATTATTTTAAAATATCGAAATCTGTATTTATTAATTTTTATTTTTTGTAGTATAACAGTTCTTTATAGCTGTTATACTCGATGATAAAGAGTGTAATATTGTGTTTTATATTTAAATTGTTCTAAATAATGTTTTTTGACCATTTTTGGTGAGTATAACAGTTTTATTATAACTGTTATTTATTTTTTATATTTTATATATGTGTTTTATTATAACAGTTTAACATTTCCAGCAATATTTCATAATAAAAAATAGTTTTTATGACAGTATAACAGTTTTCCATAACTGTTATAAAACATAAAAATATATCCAATACACTCCATTTTGAATATAATTTCAAAAATTGTGATTTTCGTGCATTTTTCTTCAGTATAACAGTTTGGCTATAACTGTTATACAGCTCAAAAATTGAATTTTCTTATTAAATTTTTCATATTTTGATATTATAGATGATTCCAAAGCATCCCCTGGGCACTTAAGATGTCGGTTATACAGAGTAAATTGGAGAAATTTGTAATTTTTGTTATTTTAATTATAGTTTTTGGTAGTATAACAGTTTTTTATAACTGTTATACATCACAAACATGTACCCAATAGCCGCCATTTTGGATATAATATCATAAATTTTGATTTTCGAGCATTTTTCTTTAGTATAACAGTTATGTTGTAACTGTTATACAAATGAATAAAAGTCATTTTAACTAATTTCTTTCATATTCTGTCATTTTAGATGTTTCAAACGTAAGATCCCGTCATCAAATTTATTTTTTTTTCAGTATAACAGTTTCCATAGAACTGTTATACATCACAAAAATGCTTCCAATGTACTTTGTTATGTGTATATTGTCATAAATTGTGATTTTCGGGCATTTTACTTCAGTATAACAGTTACGTTAAAAGTGTTATACAGTCGAAAAATTCAATTTTCGGTTTAAATTTTGCTTACATGGTAATTTTATATGATGAAGATTATTTTTTAATTAAAAAAAATTTTAATAAATAATGATTTTTAGTAATTTTTGTTGAGTAAAATGTGTCCAATACACTTTGTTATGTGTATATAGTTATAAAATGTGATTTTCTCGAATTTTTCTGCAGTATAACAGTTATGTGAAAACTGTTATACCGCGGAAAAACTGGATTTTAGGTCAAAATTTTGCTTATATGGTCATATTATATTATTCTAAAGCATCTCATCTTGCCTAAAGAGGTTTTTTTAATATAAGAGATTTTTTTGCATATTAACCACCAATTTTCAGTATAACAGTTTATTAAAAATTTTATATATCACGTAAATTTATCTGTTTTAAGTTTAATATATTAAAATTTTCATAAAATATGATTTTCAATGATTTTTTCTGAGTATAACAGTTTTCTTATAACTGTTATACAACACAAAAATGCACCTAATACACAGTATTTTTTGTATATTATCCAAGAGTGTGATTTTCATGGATTTTTCTTCAGTATAACAGTTATGTTACAACTGTTATACTTGACAAAAAAGTGATTTTTGGTTAAAATTTCACCGATTTTGTGATTTTAGATGATTTTAAAGTACTTCCTGATTATATTTACATCTTTTATAAAAATACGTGGATGTTTTCCAGTGAAATATATTTCAGGGTTCAAACTAAATTACTTATTGCCTCTGTCCAAAAACAATTAGACCATTATGACACATTTCCTTAGAAAAACAAATTTATCCCAAACCAAAAAAATGTTTGCTAATGTTTGTCATTCGTTTTTTTTTTGTCCCGTTTGTTTTTTCTTTTTGGGGATTGCCTCATCATATCAATTCGGACAAGTAGCCAAACCACGACAGCAACAACAATAACAATAAACAGAATATTATTTGCTCATAGCATTTCTTTTATGTGTGCCACTATGTTTGTTGGAGCGTATGAATGCTTGTATGTTTGAATGTATGTATTGTTTGGTTAACATATTTGGTCTTTAAGGGGTCTTTGAACTTTTCTTCTTTTCTTTTCTATAATTATCAACATTTCGGTTATTGTTGTTGTTGGTGTTCTTTTTGTGTTTGAACGAATTAAAAAAGACCAGAATATGTATGTGTGTATGTTTCGGTTTCTTTCTATTTGCCCTTTACTGTTGTTCTTCTTGTTGTTGTAGTATCGAAGATTGAATTTGGAGTGACTGACTTTTTTTGTGGATGAAGAAGTTTGAATATAGAAATGACTGATTCGTAAAATAGCTCAAATGGAACAAACGTAAGAAGAAATTTTTGATAAGTGAAAAAAAGAAAGAAAGAAATTTTGAATGACAACAAAGAAATAAATAAAATAAATAGGTTTCCCACTGACGGAAACAAAAGAAACGCACAATCAACATTCATAGCGTCGAGTTAGATTTTGGATTTAGATGATATTGTTGTTGTTATTTTTTGGTGGTGTATACTTTTTCTCCTGCTCTCTTGGCTGTCAGTCAGTGAAAGTATGATGGATTATAATTATTACCTGCCAAAAAAAGTTCCGTTCTTTTTTTGGATTGGCAAAAAATTTTTGGTATACAGACACTATAAATTACATAGTTTAGAAGTTAATGAACCGAAGAAAAAATGTTTGTGGAGGATTCGCCAAATGAGTGGCCTGACTCAAAAAAAAAAAAAAAAAATAATAATAATAATAATAAAATAAAAATGAAATAAATAAAAAATAACAATATTAATGAAAAAGTTATATGCCACTTCCAAAATATTTTTAAATAATAAAAAATGAATTCGAAGATTTTTTTTTTAACTTTTTGGCAGTATAACAGTTTTGTTTCAACTCTTATACACTTCACTTTACTTATTTCCATAAATATTCAGGACATCATAAAAATAAAAATTTTGCAACAATTTTTGTTAGTATAACAGTTTATATGAAACTGTTATACAATAACAAAATTATTTTATTCGCATAGTTTTTCGAAAAATATGAAAAATAACAATTTTGCAAAATTTTTTGTTAGTATAACAGTTTATATGAAAATGTTATACACTACCAAAATTATTTTATTCGTATAGTTATTCGAAAGATATGAAAAATGCAAATTTAACAACAATTTTTGTTAGTATAACAGTTTTTAATAAACTCTTATACACAATAATTTTTTTTTTTTTGGAAAATTATGTAAAATATATGAAGAATAGCACTGGCATTGCACTTATTACACAATTTTGATACTAAATCAAGAGAAATTTAATTAAATACCTTGAGTATAACAGTTAAAGGTCACCAGAAATAACCAATATTTTTGAAATTAGTATATCTACAGGGTTTTTTCTATGTCGAAACAATTTTTTTAACATCAAATTTGAAATACAATATCGTTTTTCCAAAATGTTCGTAAATTTTTTTAAGGGTATAACAGTTTTTGTGAAACTGTTATACACTACCAAAATTATTTTATTTACACAATTATTAGAAAAATATTAAAAAATACAAATTTTGCAACAATTTTTGTTAGTATAACAGTTTTTATAAAACTTTTGTAAAATATATGAATCTTAGTACTTGTATTACCCCTATAACTCAACTTTAATAACTAATCACGTGAAAATTATGAAATAGATTCAGTATAGCAGTTAGAGGTCGCCGGAAATACCCAATATTTTTCAAATTTGTATACCTACAGGGTTTCCTATGAACTCAATTATATTTTTAGTATCAAATTTGAAGTAAAATATTGCTTTTTTTAAATGTGTGCAATTTTTTTGGGAGTATAACAGTTTTTATGAAACTGTTATACACCAGCAAAATCGATTTTATTGCACTATTATTCAAATTTTTTAAGAATTAAAGCGTTGTCATAAATTTTGAAAAGTATAACAGTTTTATAAAAACTGTTATACACATCAAAATTTGGTTTAAAAATGTTTAAAAATATCACAATTTGTAAAATTTTCCCAAGTCCACAACTTTTTGTGTATTTTCAAAATATTTGTACTATCAAAATTTTGGTTAACAAATTATTTTTCGCAAATTTTTATAAATTTTTTCTGAGTATAACAGTTTGTATAAAACTGTTATACACCACCAAAATTAATTTATTTGTATATATATTCCAAAAATATGACGACTGACAAAATGGTCAATCATTTTTGGCAAGTATAACAGTTTTCATAAAACTGTTATACACATAAAAATTAATTAAATTGAATATTTTGTGAAGAATTTTACAAAGAACACTGATATTTGATATTATAACAACATATACAAATTAAATATAAATTTTCATGATTTGTGCCCTATTTATGTAAATATAACAGTTTTTATAAAACTGTTATACACTAACTGGAATTGTAATTATATTCAATATTCACTAAAAAATAAATGATTAAACATTTTACATACAAATTAACACGAATTTTGCCCTATTTATGCAAGTATAACAGTTTTTATACAACTGTTATACACTATGAAAAATTGTGGTTATATTCTATATTCACTAAAAAATTATTGATATTATAAACATTTACAGCAATTGTAGTAAGTGCATAAAGAGTTGTAGGAATTTACAATAATTTTCACTTGTATAACAGTTTGCTATAATTGTTATACTTCTTTAGAATGATTTTATTTAAA